TTTGTATGTGGGGGCAGGGGACTTACAAAGAAAAAAATGTTTACAAATTTTATGGGGGTTTTTTTATGCGACTATCTTTATTTTACTTTAGTTTATTGCTATCACATAGGGGGCTAACAATCCCCCATTTGATAGCACAGATACAGTAACAGGTCCTCATAATGGAGACATCAGTGGTCTATCAGACTCCTAATGTCACCTAGGGACCCCAAAGAAGCTGATGAAGCAAAGATCAGCTTCTTCTCCGCCTACAGCAGCCAAAGAAATGACACACACTGAAAGCGGACATGATGTAATACACATCACTTCCAAGTCCAGTGATCAGAGGGAGATCAGCCGATAAAGGAGAGTGGAGCCCGGGATAGCCAGTGGCGGAGGAGAGGACACACTGCCTCGCACCGTACAAGAGCTGCCCGAACGCTTGTATGGAACAGCCATAGCAAGCTGTACACAATTTGAGCAGTTTGAACAGGAAGTTTAAAAATGCCCACTTGCCGTTATAAGTGAGCTGTCCAGCCATTTATTTACAATGGGCCGGATGGCAAAGAGTTAAAGCCCATCTCTATGCAAAATTTTACCCCCTACCCCATCTAGCTGTTTTTTCTTGCCTTGTAAAGCAAGCTACATGTCTAAGTCCACCATCCGCGTCCATCGCTGGCGCTGTCTCCAGGAGTGGGACAGGGGTATATCCCCTATGCTACTCCTTTTCTGGATCCTGAGAGGACTCCACCATTGAAATGCCAATAGGAAGTGTCCATGTCATTGCCTGCATGTTGTGGACACCCAAAGAAGGATCTCGTCTTCTCTAAACAGAAGAAGAGGGAACACTCCGGGCTGAAATGTCACGTGACCATGGTTTTAGATGAGTAAAAGTGACATTAGGGTATGTATGTATGTATGTATGTATGTATATATATATATACAAATTTATGCCAGCGCTTAATGGGGGGATGGGGTGGCATAGATCAGCTATAAATATTATCCCTTTTAGCATTTTCTGTATAGCAGTAAAGCTGTCTTACTAGAAAAAAATCCCTATAAGATCTCTGTCACACTGCACTTTTACAATGATAAATACCACTTTATAATACTTATATTTTGTAAAAATTAATGGTATAGTAATAATTTCATGCAACCAAGTTATTATGTTCTCTCCACCTGATTATATTGTCAATGTCAATATGGTGATCATTTCTAAACATGCTCCTGATTCTTACGATGTTTGGCTTTTTATATAGTATTCAGTCCTTCTTCCTGCCCTATAGTTTCTTTGTTCATTTGTCCATGATGAACATCTGTAACAGACTAATTGGGTCTGTTTGTGGCCACAAGCTTGTAGTACTGAATATCATCCAGGTTCCTAACCTAGCAACATGTTTGAATATGATGTTCCATCAGTTCTATATGATGTTTACATCTATATGATAATGCATCCCTCTTGTGCATAGTTCATAATCCACCCTTGTTAGCACAACTCAGCATGAAGTGGCAATGCTGGCAAGCCTTTGTTTGTTCAGTCTATACATGCTGTGCGCAAATATCACATGCAATGATTTAAATATAGTTGTTCTAATTTATCATGTCATAAGTAATACATCTCCATTAGTATCATCAAAATAGTACAGTCAGTGCTACACATAGGCTGTCATCCATATTTGTGATTTATCTTGCTTATGATGAGCATTCAGAATTAAGGTTTTGCAGTTAAAATGCATATAGTTGTAGTTTGTCAACTTGACTTGTTCTGTAATGTTGAAGAGGTTTCCCTCAACACCACCTATTTCAAGTACGAGAATAACTTCTATAAATGTTAACATGGCTTTGCTATGGAATCAACTGCATCTCTTGTTGTAGCTAACCTGTACATGGAAAAGGTAGAGAAGAGAGCCTTAAACACTTTTAGGGGAATAACACCGAGTCATTGGTTCAGGTATGCAGACGATACATGGGTCAAACGATGCATGGGTCAAGATTAGAACATTCTAAATACAAGCTTCTAGTGAACACATAAACTCTGTTGGCATAAACATCAAGTTTACATGGGAAGGAGCACAAAATAACAAATTACCATTTCTGGACTGTGCGTCGCATGTAAAGGAGGCGGGTAACTTGGACATTGAGGTAAAAAGTACCGGTACATGTTGATCTTCTCAGAAATGTAGCTGTCCTGTGAACACTTTCTGTGTTATCTGATGGCGTTATGTTATCCGGTGTTATCTGATGGAGTCTGATCAGCCGATCCAGTCCAGGCCTTTCCTTGGACTACAGAATAATTCAGCCTTATCTTGTAGAGATTAAGACAGTGTGTGTGTGGGGCGGGGGGTAAATAAAACATGGTTGACAAGATTTACAGCCCCCAGATCACTTCTATGTGCTTTTAAAACATGACACACACACACACACCAAGGCTCACCTGTGCCTGTCCCTGATCTCCATGGCAGGTGTTGGGAGAGAGAAAAGCTGGAGAATCCATGAAAATCCTCTGCTGTTCTCCCATAGGTAGTATGAACCCAGAAGCGCTAATTTCTGAGCACTTCCATGTTCAGGGCTCTCATACCCCGGGCACCAGGGAAGAATTGCTTGATCAGCTTCAACTGCAGAGATGACGTTAGAAGTCTAATAGACCCTTGATGTCTCTTTAAAGAGAACATGTCACAAGTTCAACGTTTTTTTTTTTTATTAAAGTTTAATAAATTAAATTGGAAAAAAAACAAAAAATGTATATACAATTGAAACTATCATCATTTTATCCTACACAATCTCGGCTTTTAGGGTTTTAGGTGAATTTTTATATACAATTTTTATGTGCATTTTAGTATGTGTGCACAAAATGAAAAAAAAATGGCTATGGCAACAAAGTTAAAGGAGCCATATTACTAAGGGTCTGTTAATGGACTTTTGTTCACATTAGAACAGCTTCCCTCCCCATGTAAGTCAATAGGATTGCAAAAGCTGCGTAAAGCAAGTTGATGCAGGCGTCTCAAGCGCAGGTAAGAAGGAGGTAAACTGCAGGCCAAATGAATTTGTCAGTGAACTCTGGATGATTTTAGAAGCAAGCCGCATTTGTCTATTGACACTAACCCAAAGCCTGTCAACCGAAGCCCCTTGGCGCTAAGCCTTTTGAACATGCTGCCATAATCATTTTGTTTAACCCCTGAAATGTGTTCGCTATTGTCCATCATCACAAGCTGAAGGGTCTCTTCATCTTCTTTGTTCCGTACTTGGGTTATTGATCACAAAATTGTTTGCTGATGTTATCTGGACTAAACGTGACTAGAATGGATGTCTGATTTATAAAATGGTATCACATAAGGCGAAGACGCTGTTTCTTTGATCTCTTTATGCTGCCATAATGGCACAAGGGAAGGATGGAAGAGGTGTGCCATGTCTACCACCTACACAACCACTTCATCCTAGCAGACACATACAGTATACATATATGCTCTTGCCACCTAGGGGGAGTGTATTCAACAACCACAATGTTGTAACCTTTTTATACCATATACTGTATGCAGCAGATTTGAAATTTCAAATCTTATTAAGTAAAACATATGATTGATAATACAATTATCCTTCCTTCTCAGCTAGCTTTAAAGTGACATTAAACCCTCAGATTTTTTAACATAAACCAATAGTGTAATGTGTGCCTTACTGTAATCCATGGTAGTTTCCCTTATCTTTGCTGCTCTTCCTTTTAAATCCTCATGTCTTCTCATCCTCGGGGAGAACTTCCCTTTTCAGTTCAGGGCCTCTTCCTGTAGTGCTGGCTCAGGTTACAAGCCTATAGAAACGTATACACAGACACCGTGTATCCATTCCTGAGACAAGGCAGTCTGCTGCAAAACAGAAGTTCTGCAGAGCATGAGAACAGATACAGATTTAAAAGGAAGAGCAGCAAAGAGAAGGGAAACTACCATGGATTACAGTAAGGCACACATTACACTATTGTTTTATGTTAAAAAATCTGAGGGTTTTAATGTCACTTTAACCCTCCGACAATTTTTCTTTTTTTTTTTTTTAAATTAACAAATTCTGTGGCATAATTAAGTTATAGGGATAAAAAATTTTTACTAGAGGCTCTGACAGGCTACTAACTGCAAGAAGCTTTTATTGTAATCAACGTGTGTATGGTCAGTGTGAGTTTAGTCTATTACTCAGGAGGGCTCTCCTCTGGATTGCTGTTCTGCTCTTAAAGCTGGAGAACAGAAAACTAATATAAAATAAACGATTTTCTTTAGCTTGAATGAATCAGCCACAAAGCGCCTGCTCAATGACCCACCCCATAGCGTGCACATATTTTCTTTATAAGTTTGATTTATTTTATTTTTGGTAGGGGGGCATTGCTCTCCCCCTCTTTGCTTCTTAATTTGTCCCTCTTTTTGATCTAATTTATAGTGTAATGTAACGCTTTTGATAGTTAATAGGAAAATGTTTCAATCAAACCCTAAACTATTACATTTAATACTTTCAAATATAGTATGAGGGCTCATTTACTCCTTTTATGCATTACAGTATTGCGCTTGTTAATGTAACCCACCATGCGCATTGATTTTTAAAAAGCACTCCAACTTGCTAAAGGAATGCACTTGCATTGCACCAAGCAGTAGCTCACCACTGTGCCTTGTATCAGCAAAAATGGTGCATATCTGATGTTCCGACCATTGTGGTGCATTACCGAAAACAATTGTTCACACATGACATAACACTTGTTAATGCACCGCTTTGGGCAGGATGGGTGAATAGGCCCTTAGGCTGAGTGAATGGACCTTAGCAGAAAAGTAACATTTCTTCAGTGGGTTTAAATAATTCTTTGTGTGCAAATTTTTCATGATCTTAGTAACTGAGGTTCATGGTAGGGGGTTTATATGTTGTCTAAATACCTTGTTCTGAAAGTCGTCCTCATGTCCTATTTTTTAGTTATAGGAAGTTGGAATATCTGTAAAGAATAAGTCAAGGCAACTCTAATTGCTGTATTTTTTTTTCAGTCCAGTTGCTTTGACTTATTCTTTACAGATATACCATGACCTGGATGAATGAGAAGCTTCACAGACACATAGACAGTAGGAAGTTTGACACCATGAACAACATGTGATGGATTACCGTGTTCCACCGTGTAGTGTTCATATTGTTCTACTGTACATGTACCAAGCACAGTTCAGTGTCTGGGGGGTGGTTTTATGACAGCCTGGGCTCAGGGAAAGTTGGCTGAATGTCATACAACTTGGAAAAACGAGGCTATCTAGTGGCGGAAAGGAAATACTGGGGGAAGGAACAAGCTCCGGATTGGGCTATTCATTTGAACTTTTATACGCTAGAGTTCAGCTTTATCGAATCCATTGCACATTACTAGTCCTAGCCATCTCACACTGTCTCAGACAATTTAGACCCACAAAGTAGCCCTTAGAACTGGCCAATACTGTACCTGTGTAGGGTCTCTATAACATGTGACCCGGAAGATCAGAAACCCCTCATACCAGTTGGAGAAGGAATAACCATTGAGTTATGATGCCCACCGGTACACTTACCATACTATCTGAACAATAAAGACAGCACAGACGTTTATCCTGAACTGCAGTTCTGCAGCTCCAGAAGCCATCGATCACCGCAAGCGCAGTTTACTTTTTTTCTCCTCCTTTTATGACATATCATCCCTCATGTCTTACTTGCAGGGATGCGGAGGATGTGAGGAGGCATTTTGGCAGTTAAGCACAGTGTAACAGCTGTAAGTGTTTAGCTTGTCAAGGAGAGCAACTTATAGCCCAGGAGACAATACTTCACCACCAGAGAGGATGTTCTATATCACAACAATGCTCTGTTTGCTACATCAATGGCTACATGTAACAAAATCCACATAGCTATTTGCATATTTAAAGGAAGAAAGGAAGATTTAACTTTAATACTTTATATATCTCAATTATCCTCAAGCTACTTTCAAACTTATTGTTATTGACTATTACCTTTTCCTTTTTAAATGTGCATAATAAAAATCCAAATGTCATTCTTTTTTCAACAGATTTCAGGGGATGTTTAAAAGATACCCCCCAGAAATCTGATTCTCTGTTTGTGTGATTGGCTCACTGGTTTTCCCAGAGGTCTGAACAGAGCTTAAAGGGAAATATCAGTTATCTCCTGCACTATCCTTTTAGGTTTTGTTTTTTCTCTTATCCTGAATACATGTGTTTGGATCTTTCAACAGTTATATAGCACAAGGCTCTGGCTGACTGGGTACAAACTTTAAAAAACAAACCAGTAGTAGGAGGGACAAGGGGGTGGCTGTGTGTCACTTGAACCCCTTTCACTTTATTCCTTCCTCTGGTACTGGCCCCTTGTGGCTTGCTGACACTGGTCCCAGGTCTCTTGTGGAAAAGGTGGTTATGATTAAGGGCCTTGACTTAAAGACCTTCAGTAGCAATGTTAGTAGAGTATAAAAGTTGAAAACAAAAGTTGGCTTTAACCGTGTTGCAACTGATTATTTGTCTTCAGTGTGATGGGAGAATTTTGCATGGTAACCCACCATATGGCACAGGTTTTCATCCTGACACTCTCATTGGTCACCTGACTTACCTTCTAAATCCTTGTAGTAGCAGATATTGTCATCTTCAATTAATCTGAGCTTGGAGAAAATACAAACCCACTTGTTCAAGCACTACATATTTTCCTTAGCCCACTGAAAAGGGTCGTAGGGTGCAGGTGCGAGGAGGTGCAGCCTGGGCTCAGTGCAGCAGGGAGAAGAGGGGCGGCACTCAGTACAGAGGCTTCCCATTCATTCAGAAAATAATAACTATCAACCAGCGGTGTATTTAGGTTTCGTGCTGCCCTAGGCAAGATGAAACTTGGCACCCCCCCCATCTAAATTTGTCCCACCCCTTCCTGTTCAAGACATTTGGTGTAACCTGTCAAGTCGCTGGATACAGCTTCTGACAGGTTGCGCTATTAGGCCTCATTCCCACAGCTTTGAGTTGGCCTGTACAGATCCGTGCAGCGTGCACGGCCGTAACAGGCCGTTCCCGGGAAGGACAGGTGCTGCGTATGATTGTACGCAGCAGCCTGTTCTTCTCTATGGGAGGATGCGGCCGTACGCTTACCCGAACTGCACATCTGTGCGGGTGTCCATACTCGTATGCAGGCAGGATGGATCCTGTTTGTGTCCAAGCACGGACACCTGCACGGATGTGCAGTTCGGGTAAGCGTACAGCCGCGTCCTCCCATAGAGAAGAACAGGCTGCTGCGTACAATCACACGCAGCACCTGTCCTTCCCAAGAACTGCCCGATACGGCTGTGCACGCCGCATGGATCTGTACGGGCCAACTCAAAGCTGTGGGAATGAGGCCTAATAGCGCAACCTGTCAGAAGCTGTATCCAGCGACTTGACAGGTTACACCAAATGTCTTGAACAGGAAGGGGTGGGACAAAGGGGTGGGCTCTAAGCTGTGCCCATGAGGCCTTAGTGTTGTAGGGAAGCCGGGGTGTCAGGTGGGCTGTAAAGGATCTCTGGTTGGCTCTGCAGGGTCTCAGGCAGAGTCTGCCAAAGACCCTGCACATCCCTTATGGTACTGGGGACTCATGGTACTGTGTGTCCCCAGTTATTTACAAAAACTGGAGTGACCAGCTGATCACTCCAATGTTTATGCTGCAAACAGAGGGAAAACCCCACCCCCCAAAAAAATGGGAGGAAAAAAAACATGAGGTCCCCCCTGAAATTATTTCCAGACTCTTGATCTGAGCACAGGCCCGGCAGGGCAGTAAAGGGGGTGGGCGATCGAGCAGACATACCAGGCCACGTGCCCTCAGCATTGGAAGTGTATCCCCATGCTGATGGGGACAAGTGCCTCCTTTACTCATTCACTAAAGGGTTAAAAGTAAATAAACACACTACACATTTTGAAAAAAGTCCTTTATTTAAAAAATAAAATGGATCCATCGATGTAATCCACTTGTGTGTGCACACCCTAATGCAATAGGCTGCCCACACCTATGCAGCTTACCTTTTTAAGATGTTCTTTTCTGGAAACTCCAGGACTGCTTAGTTCTCACTGTTTAGGAATTTTCTTGCCACAATTAACCCCGACTGTACTGTGCTGGCAGATCTCATTATTGCTTGTAAACTTGATGTGCAGGACTGTCTGTCCTGAAGAAGGGTTACAGATCTCAAAGCATTGTATGTTACTGCACTTTATAAATAATAATAATAATTTATATGTCTCTCAGTCTGTTCCCGTATCTGCACACTGCCATCTATTCTAACCACTAGAAGCTGCCTAGAGTCCTATGTATAATTCTGCTCCAACAATCACATAGAAAGGTAACACATTTTGAGTTTACTTTTTTTTTTAATGTTGTATGAATAGGAACACATAACTAACATATAGTGCGGGTTTCTTAAAACTGACTGCGTGAAAAAACAATTATCACAAGTTACCCACAAACCTCAATTTTCCCCATCAGAATTTTCTTTACAACTTGTAGCGCAAAGCCGCTTTTTATTACTTTGACCTGTTGAGCTGACCATACACAGCTTGCTACCTGTGATTGAATGATCTTCATTTGAGTTAGCCATACTGGTTCTGTCCAAATCCTGTTAGCTGTAATGATCTTCTTTACCAGGAACTTGCTCAGGACATGTTACCTCCAATATAAAAGAACAGAAGCTGCAGACACAGCTGATAGCCGGTATCTTTGAACGTGAACTAATAATCTGCCCCCATGCTTACACTTTGATCTATAATTTTCATGCCAGTCTTTGCCCTCTTTATGAAATAGTCCAGTAATGTTGTTCACCTCCAACTTCAGAACATAAAGCTTGGCAGCTGATTGAAGATTCCTTTGTATGTTGCGGTTTCAACAATTTTGTAAACAGTCATTTACTGCCTGCACGGCCATCCCTGACAGTTGTTTTATAAATAGCGATCTGTATAATGGTTTTGTGACAAGCGGGCTTGACAACCCGGAGCAATGAAAAGGAACAATCAAACGCGATTGAATATGCACGACACGCGATTTTTTGTTAATGGATAGTTTCAGGCCTGACATGTACCGAGCAGAGATCAAAGAAGCAAACAAGGCCTGTCAGTTACAAGGGAGAAGCAAGCAAGTACATAAGAACAAAACAAAGTGATCTTTTTCTGAAGCTAAAGTACTGTATATACAACTTCTAAACTCACCGAAGTCAGCCATTTTGGGAGCCAGAGCAATGTGTATCATTATATAGCTTATGGCATCTCAGTATGACCGCTGGGATCCAAGGGAAATCTAGATTGACCATGACCTTGAAAACGGATCAATAAAATTCACACATAGAACTATTATCTGGAATTCCAGGTAAAATTGATATTTTGTACTGTATAGACTAGGGAAGGCTTGGACGTGGGCATCCTGTTTACTAGGTCTCCAGAAGTTTCCTCCAACTCAGATGCCAACAGGCTGACTGGAATACTGGCATTGGTGTCACTGTTTCAGCTACAAAATGGCCAGAGTGTAGAGGTAGCACTGTGTAGAATCACTGCGCTGGGAAAGTGCTATCTCCTCCTCCAAGGCCTCCCACTGGCCACAGGGAAAATATGTATGGCCAAGGAAGACAGGGATTGTTGCATGCAGTTTGGAAGCCTGGATGGAGTAAGGGCCCATTTTAAGGTCTATGTGCTGCCACCATTGTCTGCACAGTATTGCCGCTGCCTGCTTGTTTTCTGCATATTGCCATACCTACCAGCTTTTTGCTCATTTATCATGATCAGTGTGTTCCCCACCTATTGCCATATCTGCCCATGTATTACCAGAGTTTGGCGCTATGGACACGTTTGTATGTGTAGGACCAAGTAGGCACTGTTTGATTTGAGGCCCATATTGCTATAATTGAATGACCTGCAGGCCTGTCACTATCAAACCATCTTTGTAAAAATTCTGATCTTTTGGCCACACCCCCCAGTTTCCTGTAGCGCTACACACTGCCAACCTTTTAGAGAATCTCAAGCTCATGGGGCGACAAAAAAGTTCATAAAGGAAACATTGTCTTGGGTACTGGACAGCTAACATGACATGTCTAGGTTTGCAATGAAGTGAGGAGAGAAATGTGGGAGCTGCCATTACAGACTTAGTTTTCTAAAGGCACAAGCTTCAGCACCCACATCCTGACCCTGTATTTACAGATATCACTGACTGCATGCTTGTTTCGGGTCATTGTCTAAGGCCTGGTTCACACCTGGGAGTTTTGTAGCTCGTTCAAACACCGAAACCCCATTATTTCCTATGGGTATGGTTCACACCTGGGCGTACTACAGGCCGTATGAACGCGCTACAAAACGCCCTACGCCCAAAGAAGTACAGGAGCTTCTTTGGGGCGTTTTTGTTGCGCGTTTCCATTGGGATACAGCCAAGTAGCGGTAAAAACGCACGTCATGAAACGCGCTTATTCAATACGCCTAGGTGTGAACCCAGCCTAAGGGTAGTTAAGTCTGAATCCCATCTTGCAAATTTGTTCTAAACAAGTGACTCAATAGATGAGTAATGATGCCAGGATCAGGAAAAATACTGTTTGTATTATAAAGCTGAATATCGTGGTGTTCAGGCTGAGATTAGTGAATTGGCCATCAAATCCAGGCTTAGCACATCCAAAATTCAAGTCCTGCAATAAGACTTGATGTGCAAAGGCCTATGGGTCTCCTTTGTGAAATCCAACTTGGCCAGCAACAAGTACAGATGGAAGCTCCGTTTCTCACACCTTGCTTATAAATAATAATAAAAAATCCTCATTGTTTCTTTGATTTCTTTAGAAGTACATAAGGAGACAGTGTGGGAGTATAAACCAAAAAGCAGCTTGTTTAATGTTAGCTTGGGTAGGTGCAGTCAGTATTGCTTTTCCACAGGTCTTGGTCCCCTCTCGTTAGCATGTTCCCCAAAGGTTTTAGAGATGTTAATACTGGTCAGTATTAAGCAGTAACTGTAACCTGTTTCTCATTGAAGCACTGAGATTCCTTGAATAAAAGAAAAATACACACAGTGACACGCCACAGCTCCTGATGTTCTCTTGTGACATTAACGTTACAGTCAGTTAGACCAACTCTCCTGTCACCTTGGTATGAAGTCTGTTGTTGGAGTTATTTGCTGGCTGTTTATTGCTTGGAGCTCAGTGCTGTATGTAATGCTTTTCTCACCTGCATCTTTTTGCTCAGAACAAGACTGTTACAATTCCCTCAGGTACTGAGAACAATGGCAGAAGATAGATTGAGGATCTGGTATGTTTTGTACATCTGTGACCCCAGAATGAGCCACATGGAAAGGAAGTATTCTCCAATGGAGGCGCATTAACAAGTTTCCTATTGGGTTCCTCGCATAGCCTAAGGGATTTTGCTAAAGGCTTTTAGATTAGAACAAATCCTAAAAACCGACTGCATAGAATTTTAGATTTGAAAGCAGGAGAACGTAAGGAAGAATGCTTCAGGCTAGGTTCACACCTAGGCGATTGCGCTGGCGAGCTGTTTTCACACGTTTTTGTTTGGGCGGCTTTCAATGCCTAGAGATGTCTACGAAAATCCACCCGTCCACCCGAAAATAACTCCTGCACCTTTTTGCGGGACAGGCGATTTTGTAACATACGACAAATCCCAAAGGTGTGAACGGTTTCCTTAGACTTGAATAGAAATCTCTGTTTTGCACTGCTAAATCCGCACAATAAATCACTTAGATGTGAACCTAACCTGAAGCAAACATCTTCCTGAAGGAACCAACGAGCTCCTGTATCTTGGATGCCATGGTCAATGCTGGAGATTTTTACAAATACGGTATACCTTAAGAAAAATGTGTGAAGCCATTTTTGAGGCTTTGGGTTTCTTGAAGAGTGTTTCTGGATAGGCAATTCTTATTTTAATCCTGAGGGACAGAGAAATTCAGAAACAATTAGGTTATACTGCCGCCCTCAGAAGTTTGGGACACTGAGAGACAAAAGAAATTGTATGTCAACTCCACATAACCCCTCCTTTACCAGGCATTTCCTAGGAGGTTGGACACCTTTTCTTTGCAGCTTCTTTTCTTACTATTGCAGTCCATCTATGGGTCTGACTGATGATTATCTAATGTTCCAGGGGGGCACTTTTGGAGGGAATGAGTGACTGAATGGGTTAGAAAGCTTGTTTATGCAATGATAATCATAGCTAATAAAAAGTTCTAAGAGAACTTAGCCGTCTTCAGTTGTGGCAAAGGACAATGTTGTTGATTTATATATGTAAACCAATCAGAATTTGCAGCCTGTTTAATGAAGGAGAACCGATTTTACACATTGCTTATTGACTTGTTACATAAAGGTTTTATGGTTGATCTTCTCCTACAGACACATTTTTACTTTCTGATCATCAGTCTCTCTCATGTCCACCTTCAGACCATATAATTTATCTTTTTATTGCTGTAAGAAGCAGGATTTGCTACAAATAAGCCTATAGAAGTAAATTAATATTAGGTGTGTTTATTAAATGTGACAGGTGCAGAAAGCTTTGCATGACACACTGCGTAATTAAAGTGATGGCTTCCGCAGATCCGGAGTGTTTGTTTATAATTTTTGATGTCATATTAAAGGAGAGCTCCATGCTGAGTACTAATCACCTGTATAGCAATGGCATTTAAATTATGGGTAATTCTTGTTGTTGTTTTTAGCATAAAATACAAAAGGTTAACAGTGCGATTTTAGCAGCTGTATGGGAATGAAAGTCAGCAGGCTTCAGGAATAGGAAGGGCCTAGACTAAATGGACTGCTGTATCACATAGTAAACTTGATGTAGGTTGAATTGCCAGTTGGGACATTTTTTTTCTCAAACAGTAAAATAAAAAATAAGGTAAATGGCAATGCGCACAAACAGAGCTGATGTATGGAGAGTTTGCTGTAACAAGAACATTTCCTCTTTCCCATTCACACCAAAATCCGTGTTTCATTTTCAATCCTTTTGAACGCTGCTTGGCGGATGTGAGCAACAAGAAACTTTACTATTTCCATAACTTTCTAGTGAAATGGAATTTCCCAGAACTATAATGTGTAAATGCTTTTTTTCCCCTGTATACTTTCAATTTTTAAAGCTAAACTCCTGGCAGAGATATGACAGCAGTGCATGCAGTTATGTGTTCAATAATAAAACCATTATGTGTCATTTTTATAATCAACCTGTGCAAGCTCCTGAAAGGAAGATGCCACATAATGAACCAATCGGAGTGCTGCAGTGCTCATTTACCAATAGGAAGCATTTTGACGAGGTGCGAGCAGAGAGATGAGCTCCTTATTATGCTGCTTCTCCTTCACTTTCCAGTGACAGGCAGGAGAGGTTTATTATTTATTTGCAGTAGAGCCAGATCAGTTCTGCAGGCTAGCTGGGCTGTGTAAATCTCAGGAACAGAATTAGAAATCCTTTGGGTAGAACAACTTTTGAATATGTATTAAATTTGGCTACTTAGGGTGTTTGGCTTGAGTTCAGCTTAAAGGAGCTGTAATCCCATCCCCAGAAATCTATATTTAAAATATAGAGCACGAAAAGTCATATCAAGAAGGATTTCAGGCCAATAACTTGTTCACGCTAGAAGTGAAGAGGTTTAGTAGTGATGGCAACATCAGCAATAAACCTTTTACAGTAAATTCCATAACAAGGACTAGAGGCCCCCACCTAAAACTGGGATTCTTCTCAGTCAGAGTGGTTACATTTTGAAACTCAAGCAGTGGTATCAGCAGAGAGTATTGAACTATGTACCTATGTAATGCGAAAATGTGCACGTACTGAAAATACAATACAGGTTCCCTTCAACTCCATCCAATGTGGACCCTGCACCACATCGAATGTCTGTGGGTTGGGTATTTTTGGGCTACTCCACCTACTGCAGGAGTTTTGCATCAGCTACCTTGCTTTGTGCTCTAGAGGCCAGCTCTGTACAACAAATCTTTAAAGCATAACTAAACCCAAGAGCAACAATGTAATATATTGCAGCTTACCAGTACTTGGATGTAGTGACTGCATTAGTTTGTTTTCCTTTTTTCTGGATAAAAACATATTCAACAAGCACATAAAATATTTGTTAATCCTGCCAGAAATCTTGTGTCCCTGACATATTCTGTCAGCTGATGTAGAAGCTAAAAACAATGCTAAAAACAATGCTATCCTACTACTAATTCCATTCCCCATGTAATAGAGATAAAGTAAGACATGTACGAAGTCCAGCCTGTGTCACAACCATGGCTCCATCCATAGATACACTGAAGTCCAGCCTGTGTCACAACCATGACTCCATCCATAGATACACTGTACATATGAATGTAGACACAGAGAGACATGAAGTGGTTTTTTTTTGCAGGTTTACATGGTGAAAATAAGACTGAAAGCAAACAAATGAAGCCACCACATCTAAAACCGCTAAGGCTGCAATATATTCCATATTTTTTAGGTTTACACACCTTTTGAATGCTCAAGTCCCCTCATTTCATTCTGCATCATGATATGTTTGCCAGGTAGAGAAGTCGACGTGGAAGCTTTATATACTGGCCGAGTTGATGAGGGAAGCAGAAGCGGAACAATACATTTAATTTTACTCCATGCTCGCTGGGTTTAATTCTAACAACAAATTTATCAAAACATTATTATAGCGCAATAATATTAAAGAAAAAAAAAAAGTAACAAAAGTTTCAAGTACTATAAACCCAATAAATAGCAGTTATGAGTCAAAGGCCATTGACAACTGACCAAAAGTAACACAATTTTGTAAAGTTCATCTCATTACAAAACTCCAGCTACTATGTATAATTACGCTGATCACAGAACAGCATTGATACAAGTCCATATATTACAAGATCTTTGGAGAACAAGCTCCATAGTAAATCATGCCGCAGCGGTCAATAGCCGTCGTCATCATCCAGTTCGCAGCCATATTCTGAAATAAAGCAAAACATTAAGTTTAATATAATGCAATTTTAAGATGATGGGGGGGGGGGGGGGGG